TCGATTGCTGGAACAAACGGCGAAGTCTGTAGTCTTGCTAAGGCTTTGTCCGTTGGTTCGTAGGCAGGGCGCGGTATTGGCATTCCAACCTCGACGCTTCCATGCGTCCGAGGAGCCAACCGCTGTAAGGCAGAAACTCGGTGTGGATCCCTTGCCCTGGCATCCTCCTTGCATCGTGCTTTTTCTTCAAGCACGGTTCGTAAGTCGGATGACCTGGGCAGCTCTGTCTGTCTAGATCTGGTTTGGTGTGAATGTGAAGGCCAATACGTGCTTCCTTCAGTGTATGATCTCTCAGATCTCGTCCTTTCAGACCTAGAGTGACGAGTTCTGGAAGACAAGGATTGAGTGTCGCCTGTCCTGAGGCTTCTGCTCTCTCCTTGTGAGGGTGTAGTATTCCTACTACGATTTTCTGAGTGGCGAGGGGGCATCTTGTTTTTGCGCCCTTCTCCTGTCGCCACTTCTTTTTTCTTCATCTGGCGTTTCAAGGCTTCCATGTCTGCCACCATCTTCTTTATCAATTCATCTTGTTCTTTTACGCGATCTTCCAGAGCTTGAGGGTCAATCCTCCGTCTTTGTCTGTCGGGACTTTGAGAATGGGACTGTCGAGGGCTGTGAGTCCGTCTCCCCCTAGCATCCCTCCTGGAGGTATGTCTTTGGGGCTCCAAGTTCGCCATGGGAGGGACAGAAGGTAATCCTTCACGTCTTGCGCCCCCTTCTGGAGTCAGCCCGTCGGCGGCGGATTGCGGTAGTTCTTCAATGTGTGCCATTGATTGAGAAAAGGAGAAGCTTAGTCAAGAGGTTTTTTGTTCCTGTCTGTTCTTCCCACAGACGACGCCAATTGTACGGGAAAGAAATACACCTTCTCGTATAATCCTGTTGACCAAGTCTACACTCCTCCGTACGTCGTCATTTTATCACCTGAAAACACAAACGTGAGCTAGCCGGCGGGTGTGTGCCGGAAACCTCTCCGATGCCTAAGTCAGAAAAATAGACAAAGCTCTATATTCTCAAAAGGCAAAATTGTGTTGTGTTTAATTACCTCCTCCAAGGTGATGTTTGTGAGCTTTTATAAGTTTCCTGTGGTACAATCCTAGTAGGACTTTTATTCCTCCATGCAGAGTCCTCCTAGGATTCATACTCTTAAGGATAATGCTTATCCTTTTACACCCCCCACTGCTTAAACCAAGTGGGATGGTTTTTACTTTGGCCGAACTGCTATATGACCGAAATAAGCTTGGCTATGCAGAGCCAATGAGTAAACCGAACTATTCCTAGTTCGGTTCCACCCTTAACTCTATCCTTATCTCGGTTTTCTTATGTACAACCAATGGTACGGTCTTAGACCGAACGAATGACTTTCGGCCAGTATGACTCCAAGACCGGCATAACTCTAAATCGTTCCTGGACCGAAGTATCTTTATAATTCCTGAGCCGAAGTAATTTTACCTCCCTGGCCGGAGTAACTTTGTTTCTCCTAGGCTGGAGTAACCTTGCCTCTCCTGGGCTGGAGTAACCTTGCCTCTCCTGGGCCGGAGTAACCATTACGGCCTTTTTACTTAGTCCTTCACACTTTGGGCCACAAAGCCCATTCTCACAGCTCGGCCCAATTTTTCTCAAAAATTACCCTCTCAATACACAACATTACAAGCTTTTTAATCATGTAATGTAGTTGCACAATGAAGCTCAGTATCTTTGCAGAACTTCAATGCAATGTTTATTAATGATGTATTTATTACAATGAAATGGTTAAAACAGTCTTTTATATGTCCTCAAAAAAGGTATCCGTTCCCTTAATTTTTGTATTCATAATCATATAATTTAATTTTTAAAATTAAATAGTGTAATTGTGTCTAATGAGATTGGAGGACAGACAATTTTGAGATAGGCTAATGAGGTAAAATGACAGACATTTTTGGATTGAGTTTCGACTCATGTGTAGTACGTATATATTTTATAATTTTTAAAAGTATCTATAGCTATAATATATAGATACTTTTGTTTGCGGTGTGTGGGTAACTTCAATCACACTCTCTACTTTTTATTAATTAAAGTACGAAAAAAAGTACACTCTTTATTTTACTTAAGTACTTTAACTGTTGTATTTTCTAACCACACCTTTTATTTTAGTTAATCATTCAAACTAACTTAATTAATTTTTAAAACAAAAAATACTAATTACTGATATTTTACTAATATAAATTTGTAATAATAATAAATTTGTCCATACAAATATACAAAACTTGTAGAATGAGGAGAAAAAAAAAATACAAAATAAGTTATTTCGTAATTCATCAAACAGAATTGAAAGAACATATTAAATTGCTACATACACATATACATATATAAAATTCCAAATCCAAGACATAAATATACAAAAATTCAAAATATATACATATATATTTGTTTGGAGAGCCTATAGAGCTCTTCAATTGTAGCCACCACAAAAGTAAGATGGTAAAATAACTAGCCTAATAAAGCTCAAAATTAAAGTTATATTAACTAAAATACTTAACAAGTCTTTTTTAACTATCCCTTTGAATACCTTAATGCTTACTTTCCTCCCCTGGGGGGATTGGTTCATTCAAGGACTTTTTTTTAAATTTTTATTTTTTTAGTTTGTTTAATTGAATAAAACCCCAAAATATAAAATTTTATGATAACTTTTAAAAGTCCACTTAAAAAAAAAAATCATAAGAAAAATCAAACCAACCCCAAACAAACATCTGGTATAAAATATCGCTTAATACATTAAAATTATATTGATTTGTATTAATTCGTACCGTTTTATTTGCAAGGACTTTTTTTTAAATTTTTATTTTTTTAGTTTGTTTAATTGAATAAAACCCCAAAATATAAAATTTTATGATAACTTTTAAAAGTCCACGTAAAAAAAAAAAATCATAAGAAAAATCAAACTAACCCCAAACAAACATCTGGTATAAAATATCGCTTAATACATTAAAATTATATTGATTTGTATTAATTCACACCGTTTAATTCGTTAATCATGGATTAAATTATAAATTTTACGATCGGCCTTTGAAATCGTGCTGTTCCTCTGTAGTAATATATATATAATATTTTTTTAATCTATAATAAAACATTAAAATAAAATGAATATGAAGGATTTAAGATGTAAAATTTATTAAAAATTATTTATTATGCATATGAAAAATATTATATAAAAAATATTATGCAAATGAGGAGAAACGCAATCCTCGAGCAACAGATCCAGTCCAGCCGTTGACAATAATGTTAAAAATCCTCATTTTGTTGTTCTAATATCAGAGAATTTCATGGAAGCAGTTTAGCACCCAGTCAGAGTCCTGTAAAGCTGGACATAGCTTCTTCACTTCCTCCAGGTTTGTGAACTCACTTGTTTACATCTATTTGATCCTATCACTGTACAAGAGGTCTACTACTCTTTTTTTGATTGATAACCAGGTCCAGGGTTGGTTAATAATTTGCACCATCAACATCTTTTAGGTTTCTAGATTCTATGTATAAAAAGATAACCCCCTTAACTTAAAATTTTTAACCATTTACTAAGTAGCCTCAATTATTTTTTATTTTTTATTATTATTTTATTTTTTAAATTTTTTTTAATTTTTAAATCAATCATCCCTACCCTTTCTTATATTATATGCTAACAGGGGATGCATGTTGCTAGTTGGGTTGGCTGCACAAATCCCCTGTTTCTTATCAGGGCCCACACTTATTGTTAAATCACACAACGCAACATGATGTTCTCTCATTCCCTCACCTGTCTTTTTTAGTCATCCTTTGTCCTTGACAAGCCTTCATGCTGGTGCAATTGTTGGTCTTCACTGCATATAGCAAAAAACTGTGAATCGACTTTTCTCTTTCTCTGTGTGTGTGTGTGTATGTACATACATTTATTTTCTGTTATTGATGTCCACTTCTTGAATTTCTTTCTCTCAGATTTTTTTTAGTGCTTGATCTTGTAATCTTTTGGCACAAAACTATTATTTTATACATGGGTAGTAGAAGAAAAGAATTATTTGGAATATGGAAAAGAACATTCATATGGCAATGGTAGAACATTCATAGAATTCCTCTTTATGTGTTCTCTTGCTTTGTAATGATTTTAGGCACTTTGGTTCTAATACGATGGCTTGGGTTCTTTGAAAATGTGTAGTTTGTGTGGTGCTATGGAGATTTGGTTGGAAAGGAATTCTAGAATGTTTGAGAGAAAATCAGATAATGTCAGGGCTTTGTAGGATAGAATTTGTTGTTTGGCTTCCCTTCAGGCTTCTTTGCTCCTAGGTCAGTGTCTTCTAATTTCAAGGGCATACCCTTATTTTTTATTAGTAGAGTTTGGACAGCTGTGTGTGATATGTAATTTTCTTTTATTAGTAGAGATTGGACAGCTGTGTGTGATATCTTTCTTTTCCTTCTATTGTAATTAATTTTCCTTTATTGCCAATAAGAGTATCCTGGAAAAATTCTTTAAAGTCTGATATATATATATATATATATACTACCCCCATGGAACACCTGTAGAAAGGCCATAAAAATAAGAGGCTTTGCTTATAAGGTATATTGTTTAGGCAGTGGTAAAATTAGTGGTAAGCTAGCAACATTGCCACTGATGAAAACTTGTCAATAATTTTCTTGGTGGAATTCTTACATTTTCCTTTGTAATCTCAGTAAATGGACCTATCAAATGGACCTATCATGAACTGGCAGCCAATCTCGGTTAGAAACATCACCCCTGCAATTGTCAAAGTTGTAAGACTCATAACTTCTTTATTTATTTATTTTTTGCTTGCTGCAAAAAAATAAAGGTGGTTTGCATTGTGAATCTTGTACTGTAGAGCTCATGATTTCTTAACATACTTGTTCAGGAGCCCAGCGCTGTTGGTTCTATGGCATCTGGTCCTTCTTTTCCGCACATGCCGTCTGTTCCTCGAGCGGCTTCTCAAGTAGTCCCAAGCTTGCAGGCATCTTCCGTGTCCCAACAGACATCAAGTGGGTTGCAATCTGCCCAGTCTGAATATGTGAAAGTTTGGGAGGTAAGACCACCATATTTTGGAAAGAAATGAGGTTGGATTTACAGTCTGCAGATTCCAGTGCTTAAGAAACTTTCCTATATCAAACCTTGCATTTTCCAAATGATAGTTGGGTTTCAGTTTTGGACTATCCTTTTAATAATGATTCTGATTTATTGTTCTTAATGTTGAAGTACATGGATTAAATTGGTTTCTGAATTAATGTTTTGCAATTTAACTTTTTGTGGATAATTATAAAGAGGACAGTTTGGATTTGTTTTAGTTTATGGAAATCTCAGCACATAATAGTCAGTCATTCTTTTTCTTTCACCATGTTTTTTTTAATTTTTATTTTATATTTTCTAATTGTTTGGCGTACATAAACACCATTGTGCCAAATAAAGCCCATAAGTACATTTAACAATTGTTTATAGTAATAATTCTCACCCAAGATACTCTGGTTTGAATATTTGCTGAATTTGCATGGTCCCTGTGAAGCTTTCCTTTATAGGAGGAGACATTCTCTATTCAATGCAATCTTATTTCTGGCCAATTATTCACCGAAAAATTGGATGGTTTTGAAAATATCAGTAAATAATTGACTCTGTCATGGAGACACACCTAATAGTTATTTGGCATTAACTTTTTGTTTAATTTCTCCACATTCTTGTCTATGTGTATTGAGTCATAAACTGAATGACCTTTTGTACTACGATCAGTTGGATGCACTCTGATTATATATCTACATGTCAATTCAAAATTACCGAATGTTCTCTTCATTTATAGCCCCCAAAGCCCTAGGAACCACTGGGATATCCGTAGTATCTATACTAGTGTACCATCTGTCCTCTAATTTACTTGTGCTATTTGTTTCCTTTTGCTCTATGGTAAGATCTTTACCAGGCTTCTAAACTTGCCATCATCTCTTTTGATATGCTCTGCCTGCACCACTGTTCCACAATAGCTTTAGTCAATCTCATTGGGTTAAAAAGGCCAACACACTTGAAGTTTCTTCTTTTCCTAAAACACTTTCGTCCACTTAACAAGTGAGGTCAATGCAATTTCTCCATGACCCTGTTAAAGTGTCTTCTCCACCAAAGTTCTCCATTGTTTCCTGTCTGGTAAGAAATGGTGATGTTTGAACTAGTTTTCCTACTAATGCTTGCATAATTCCCTCCACCTAAATTATCAAGCAAAAAAGAATAATAACAAACTAATTTACTATGCAACAAATTGGAGAAATGCAAAAGAACTTTTGCTGACTCTTGCAACAAATGATATTGAACAATATCATACCTTGTTTGTTGTGGAGTAAATTCTGTGAACTTGATTCATATAACACTGTTGTTTATAATAATATAACTAGTGTCCGTTAAGTGTATTTTTAATTCCGTTCAGAATGAGTGAGTACATCTTGAAACTGTCAATGGGCAATGAATACTTGGCCAATTTTGTCCTTTCATATATTTTCTTATCCTCCCATCGCTTATGTTTTCCTGAATGATCTAAATGATGCAGGGAAACTTATATGGGCAGAGACAAGGCCAGCCTGTTTTCATCACTAGACTTGAAGTATGTTTTACCTTGCCTGATAAATGATTACTTTCAATTGTGATCCATCTAGTCAAATTTTTTCTTATTTTTACGTGTATTTTAACAAGGAATGCACAAATATAGATTATGATTATTTGTACGCATGATTAAAAATAATAGTATCGGGATATGTATCAATGTCAACAATGCAGTCGTATATCGGTTAATAATATCAGCCGATATATCTATCAATGACTGTATTGAAAGTCCGAAAATCCATGGTGTGTTTGTTTGGAAGAATTGGAGGGGGGGCGGGGTATTGGACACCATGTCCATTGGATCATGGAGTCCATTGTTTGGTTGCAGGTTCATAGGCCGGACTAGGAGTCCGATTGGACTATCAATCCCACATATGTGAGATTATTGTATCTTAGAGGGGGTATGGGATAGAATTGGTGGAATAACTATCCCATGGGATTAAATGATAAAATGACATATTTGCCCTCCAAGTATTTGATATAATTATGTATTATATTTAATAAAATTAAATAAAATTTAAATGTCTCAATTTAAAAATAAAATAATTTTATTTAATTTTTATTGATGTTTTATTTTAAAATTTTATTGATGTTTTATTTAATTTCATTATTTAAATTTTTATTGATGTTTTATTTAATAATTATTATTTTTTAAAATAAATTTATTTAAAATTTTATTTTAAAAAATAACACAATTTTTTATTGATATTTTATTTATTTAATTTTTAAAAATAAATTTATTTAATTTTAAAAACAATAAATAAAATTTATTTAATCTAGCCCAAAAAAATTAAAATATTAAAGACATGATTAATATTGATATTATTTAGTAAACAATTTGAAAGGACAAGATTGTCTTTTGAACATTTATATTTCATAATATCTCAAACAAATATAACATTCAATGAAATAGTCATTTCCTTGCATCTAATCTCGTGACTAAACAAACGTGGGATACACAACCTCTTCAACTAAATAGTACGGAGACTATGTATCGCAGGATTAACAGTCCGATGGATTACAATTCCCCCTTATCCAGTTCGTCCAAACAAATATAACCTATATGTAATGAGTGATATGATATGTAATGGCCGTATTTAAAACAACTTCAATTAGTCACATTGAATGTGATGTAATTTTTTGAATTTCAACACTTGGCCAAGTCTTTTTTCATATTTATCTTCACTTATAATCCTATGTTTTTATTTATGTATGGCAGGGTTTTAGGAGTGCATCAGCTTTTGAGACGTAAGTCGACAGACTAATTTTTGGGAAGTTGGTTTAAATCAACTCACCTTTTCTATTAATATAACTTCGTTTTCAAGTTTGTGATATGTTGTTCATATCAAATCTAAATAGTTAATTAAAACAAATTCATGCTGAATTTTACTTGCTTTTGTTTACTGGTGATTCATTGATGCAAACTCAAGGTTAGTTTCAGTAAGATATGACTTGGCAGGCATATGATTCAGTGGTGTGGCTTTACTTCGGAGCTCTGAATAGTCATGCTTTTCTCAATGAAAACATTATTCTGCATGTAAGAAATATAGAGAAAGAGAGAGAATAAATTGTATGTATTATTATTGATTGATATTTTTATTTCTATTACAATGATTCATGATTCCTATATATAGAAGAGGGTGAGTGTGTAGTAGGTAAGGAGTAGGTGAAGTGGAGGTGGTAGTGGTGTAGTGGGTTAGGTTTAGTAGAGTAGGTTTAAGTGGGTGAAGTAGGTGATAGGTTTTAACAGCCCCCCGCAAACTCAAAGGGGATAGGAACTAACCAACTTGAGTTTGGAGAGAGTAACAAAACAAGAAAATAGACGAATACATAAAAGAAAAGAGGATAGGAGACACTGTATGGTCGTGTCAGACCATTGGTGAAAACACTGGATGGTGGTGTCATAACGTTGTAGAGGACACTGTATGGGAGTGTCATAACCATGTAGTTGCTTCTGCCAACTTAGAAGCTCCTAATCATATTAGAACACTATTGGATTGAATTTAAATTTGATTGTACCATCGTACAATATCAAACCATTCCTAGCCGTTAATGCGATTCGAATGAGATGAACTCTGTTTCAATTTCTGACTCTGCTTGTATTGCACATTAAAAAAAAATCTAAATTTCAGAAATAGGAGCCAGCTGGTACTATGATTCTGCCAAATTTTCATTTCCCTAAAGCATGTACTCTTTCTTGTTTATGTGGTTCTTATAGCAAGTGCCTGTGTTATTTTTTTGTTTTACTTTCTTAAATGCCTGTAGTTAGTTTGTGCACAATAACCATTGCTTATCTACTATTTTCTGTATAAGGCTTCTACTCGTGAATTTGTGGAAGCTGTCCGTGCTTATCGGGTAATATTCCCTGATTCAGAGCAGCAACTAATCAAACTTTCCCAAGACCTTGTTACCAAGTATGACTTTATTTTTCATCAAATTTTTAAAAAAAATTGCTAGCATTTATGATGTACTTTTTCTTGGATGATCTTTTAAAGAAGAAAAAATGCATTTTGCTCATGACATGTCATTGACATTTGTTTCTTAGGCACTTTGAAGCTATTATATATAATCACACTTTAATTAGAAGGTGTGATTAAAAATATATATATATATAATCACACTTAATTGAAAAGTGACATAAAAAATAAATATTATCACACTCAATCAAATTAAGTGTGATTAAAATATCAATCTAATTTTTTTTTATCACACTTCTAATAAAAGTGAGATATTTTTTTTTGTCAAAGTGTGATCTTTAACTATTTTTGTAGTATTAATATTTCCCAAGCTAATCTCAAATTACCAAGATCCACCTCAATCTTACAAACCTAATAAAATATTACACCACATATATAATTATTTTTTGCACCCATCATTCCTTTCTTTGTAACAACAATAGAATAAATTAATCCTATAATCTACCAGGAACTTCCACGCTTCAACATCAAAACAAAGCTGTTACGGCTTCGGAAATTCTCAACTTATATTATTCTATTGTTGTTTATATACATATATAAATTTATAACTTCTTACAGTCAATCTTGTATCTCAAAAACACACCACCATTAAACTTAACCCATTGCGTATCAACCCCAAAATACAAACCACCCAAATGGAATGCAAAATACACTCTAAAGTCTCGCGAAAGCGACACCCCCAGCATAGACTGCATCAATATATTTATTTAATCATATATGTCCATACAAATCATCCATCGATATATTAAAACAAAATTCATAGATAGGAATACAATAAAATAAATCTTACCTCTAAGAGATGAATAGATCAAAATCACCACTCTATGAATCTTCCCTTTTTGTTTCTATTTTTGGTTTTTCAGTGACACTTTTTTGGTCTTTCAAACCCTACGGCAGCCTAAAAAAAAAACCCTCCCGAGCCCTCTATTTTTTTTTCCTACTAGACTTGAAGCAAAACATGGCTTATTAACCTAGTTTCTCAAAATTGCAAAATTACCGATTTAAGTTGTAGAAATAATAATGTCATCTCATAACTAATTCCTTGATATTACTAAACGATCCATACAAATTAGTTTAATTACTAATCCATCAAAAAAATAATTCTACACATAACTTGGGTTTTACATTCTTCCCACCTTAAAAGAAATTTCGTCCTTGAAATTTGACATACCTAAGGTCTCAAAAAGTTATGGATATTTTTGTCTCATTCCGCCCTCTAGCTCCCAAGTAACTTCTCTTTCTGAGTGATTGCTCCATTGAACCTTAACGTAGTGAATGACTCGATGCCTCAAAACTTATTCCTTCCTATCAACGATCCGTATAGGGTGTTCCTCATAGGTCAAATTCTCCTTAAATTGCAACGGTGCATGATCAATCATATGACTAGGATTTGGTATATACTTCCTCAACATCGAGACATGAAAGACATTATGAACTCCAGCTAGTGAAGGTGGTAGGGCAAGTCTGTAAGTTACCTCTTTAATTCGATCTAAAACCTCAAATGGCCTAACAAATCTAGGACTCAATTTACCATAAACACCAAACCTCATTACTCCTTTCATAGAAGACACCTTAAGGAACACATGGTCTCCAACCCCAAACACCAAATCACATCACTTGTTATCTACATAACTTTTCTGTCTACTCTATGCAATGCGAAGTCGCTCTTAAATAAGATTGATCTTATCCACTGTTTGTTGCACAATCTCAGGTCCTAACAACTTCCTGTCGCCCACATCATCCCAACAAATAGGTAATCTACACTTCCATCCATATAAAGTCTCATATGGTGCCATTTGAATGCTCTCATAATAACTATTATTATAAGAGAATTCCACTAAGGCCAAATGTTCATCCCAAGAACCTCCAAGATCAACAACACATGCCCTCAACATGTCTTCAAGGGTCTGAATAGTTCTCTCTGACTGTCCATCTGTTTGAGGATGAAAGGTAGTGCTAAAATTCAACTTAATACCCAAAGCTGTATGCAAACTCCTCCAAAACATAGATATAAATATGTTATCTCTGTCAGACACTATAGTCACCGGAATACTATGCAACCTCAGAATCTCCTTGATATACAATTTTGCAAACCTCTCTAAGGAGAACCCCACCTTAAAATCTAGAAAGTGAGCGGATTTGGTCAATCAATCAACGATAACCCAAATAGCATTTGTTAGGTTTTTGTTCTTAGCAATCCTATTTGACAAAACTCCTTCCAAGTGTAATTTTATTTGATCTTTTATTTCATTGGGGCTATGAGTTTCAAATGCAAATCCAACCAGAATTGTGCCTATGCAAAAGAGTTTGTGATCTTAATCTTATCATAGTTGTCACTTCGCTGACTATCTCGAAGATTGAGCTATCCAGTCAACTCGCGGAGGTCCAGGGGGTAGCGCTCCTTGGTGGGTCTGGGGCAGCTCCCAGGTGGGGTCAAAGGGCAGCGCCCTCGGAGATCACGACCTTTCAGAAGTTTCACTCACCTGCAAAAGTACTTGGAGTTTTTTTTTTTTCCCGCTCGAGCGGCCATTCATATACTCAAGCGTAGACCCTCTTTAGTCACACACATTTTAGTCACTCCACTCGAGTGGAGATCGCGGATCTGTTTGTTATAAAAGCTACGATTCAATCAGGTTTTAGGGTACGGCTACCAAATCTTATTTTTAGATATTAGGATTTTCATCTACCAAGCATTGAGCAACATATTGAGCAATTTCCATCTTCATATTATTCCACCAAGAGTTTCTTTTCAAGTCTTTATACATTTTAATGCTCCATGGATGTACAATATACCCTAAACTGTGAGCTTTTCTCAAGATTTCTCTCTTGAGCTCTAAATCATTAGGCACACAAAACCTCTCTCCAAATCTCAAGGTTCCATCTTTATGCATACAAAATTCCATCCGTAGCCTTATTTCCATTTCAGCCTTAAGTTTTTGCTACTGAGGATCTCTTCCTTGAGCATCTTTAATTCTATCAATCAATATGGGTTGAACTCTAAAGTTTGCCAACTGCACTCCATGGTTGTGCCATCTAATCTCGATATTCAACCTTTGTAAGTCCTTCAAGATATTCTTTTGGTCAGTGATCAAAGTAGCCAAATTACTTAGGGTCTTTCTACTCAAGGCATCCGCCACTGTATTGGCTTTTCTCATATGATAATTGATAGTCAAATCATAGTCTTTTAATAGCTCCAACCATCGCCTTTGCCTCATATTCAATTCTTTTTGAATGAAAATATACTTCAAACTTTTATGATCAGTGAATATCTTACATTTTACCCCATACATGTAGTGCCTCTAGATTTTCAGTGCAAACACTATTGCAGCCAACTCCAAATCATGCGTGGCATAATTTTGCTCATATGGCTTCAACTGCCTAGACGCACATGCCACTACCTTGTCATTCTGCATCAGGACACAACCCAAGCTCATCTTCGATGCATCGCTATAGATGGTAAAACCTTCATCTCCAGACGAAACTATAAGTACTGATGCAGACACTAATAGACTCTTTGGATCTTGGAAACTCTTCTCACAATCATCAGACCACTCAAATTTAATCCCTTTTTGTGTTAAACAAGTCAAAGGCATAGAAATTCAGGAAAATCCCTCAACAAACCTTCTATAATATCCTCTTAAACCTAAGAAGCTACGAATTTCAGTGACACTAGTAGACCTATTCCACTCTACCACAGTCTCTACTTTCTTGGGGTCAACAGACACCCCATCTTTAGATATCACATGTCCCAAAAATGATACACTCTCTAGCCAAAACTCATACTTCTTTAATTTAGCAAAAAATTTCTTCTCCCTTAATATCTGTAACACTATTCTTAGATGCTCTTCATGTTACTCTTTACTCTTTGAGTACACAAGAATGTCATCAATAAAAACTACCACAAACTGATCTAAGAAGGGTTTAAATACTCTGTTCATTAAATCCATGAAAGCAGCATGCGCATTGGTCAACCTAAACGGCATCACGAAAAATTCATAATGCCCATACCTAGTTCGGAAGGTTGTCTTAGGTATATCATCCGCCT